CAGCGGTGTTGTCCTTCTTCCCGGTCCATGGAACGTCGATGTATGAAAACAATACATTGGTTACTGGGGATAACAAAGGCGTCGCTGCGTGGCTTTTCGAAAGAAGCGTCCAGGACGATGAGAACTTCGCGGATGGCTTCGTCGCAGGCTTCTCCCAGTCTAATGTCGGCGATACCAGTCCAAATGTCCTCGGAGCATGGTGTGAAGATGGTTCGGGAGAACAATGCAAGTATACGGACAGCACTTGTGGCGGGAAACCCGTAGACTGCCACGGCCGGGGGCCCTACTTCACCGAGAAAGATAACGGCGCGAAAAGCTGTTTCGAGATCGGGCGGCGTCAGTATGAAGCCGCAAAGACATTGTACAGCCAGCTGGGCACGAGCCCGACAAAAATTCTGCCTACCGAGGTCCGCTCGTTCCATGTCTACCGCGACATGTCGAACTACACCTTTCAGTCACCTTTCAACTCGAGCACTTTGACTACGTGCTCAGCAGCACTAGGTTTCTCATTTGCCGCCGGCACTACTGATGGGCCGGGGTATTTTGACTTCACTCAAAATGGCACTGGACCCGCAGAGTCCAATCCTTTGTGGTACGTCGCCCGCGCATTCGTCCACCAGCCATCGGCGGCGCAGCAGGCTTGCCAGGCGCCTAAAGAAATTCTACTTGACGTTGGTGCTGTCACGCAGCCGTATGCTTGGACGCCCAACATCGTGGACATCCAAGTTCTGCGTGTAGGGCAGTTGTTCCTCGTCGTTTCTACAAGTGAGGCGACTACAATGTCTGGCAGGCGCTGGAAGGAAGCTATCGCGACATCTGCGAAGGAGGTGCTTTCTATCGAGAATCCCCTTGTTGTTTTGGGAGCTCCGTCGAATAGCTATGCGCACTACGTAGCTACAGAGGAGGAATATGGAGTTCAACGTTACGAGGGGGCTTCTACTCTATACGGCCCCAACACCCTGGCTGCATATGTGAACTTGACCCTGACATATCTACCATATCTTGGGGACACCACCAATACAGCCAGTCTCCCATCGCTGTCCACTGGCCTGGAGCCTCCGATAAACACAGACACTTCATTAAGCTTCATCACGGGTGTGGTATATGATGGGTCCCCTGTGGGGAAAGCCTTCGGGGATGTTGTCTCGTCTCTCGAAAATGCCACTTACTACCCTGGGGACACGGTCAATGTGACATTCGTGGGCGCAAATCCGCGGAATAATTTGCGACAGGAATCGACTTTTGCCGCTGTGGAGAGACTGGATCCGAGCACGGGCTCTTGGGTGGTGGTTCGCAAAGATTCAGACTGGAATCTTGTGTATAACTGGGTCAGGACAAGCACAGTGCTAGCCTATAGCCAAGTTACTCTTCAGTGGGAGATCGAAGACGACTACTACAACACTGGCAATCCCAACTCGCTGCAGGCTGGGACTTACCGGTTTCACTACTATGGGGACTCGAAAGCGTTGACAGGCAAGATCACTGCCTTTGAGGGAATCAGTGACTCTTTTGTTGTTGCATTGAATTGAGGACAATCGGCGTGTTCTGGATGTCGAGCTGTCGCAATTGTAAGTTGCGAATACGAACAGAGGAGTCAAACAATTTACTAGGCACTATGCGAGTAACTATACTAGTAGCCGCAGGAAACGATTTGTTGTTGAGGCATAGAGTTGGGCTGTCTAGTCTATTTTTGTAGTGTCTCATCATAGTACACATGTAGGATGTGAGGCTTCCCAAGCAAGCCATGTTTTCCGTCAAATACTGAGCTTTGGTGGCTGTGCTCTTGATTCACTCCTATCTTATTCAACAAAACAAGATGATCGACAAGATCCTGTCGAATTTAACGATGCTGGACTGCCAATCAAGCCGGTGGATGGTGCAGCACCGCATGATGCATGGATCTTTTTTTGTTGTCGCGCGGCAATTCGTCTTTCTTCAGCCAACCACTTCATCTCCACTCAGGGCTTGATTGTCTCATCTCCCGCTGGACAAAGACCTGAATCAAATGGCTGCTGGGCTTAAGAGATGGCTGTCTCCACCCTCATAACACTGTTCTTTGCTCTCTTTGCTCCCTTTGCTCTCTTTGAGTCTTTCTTGCCATTGTCTCTCATTAGTCTTTCTTGCTTGTTGATTGCCTCTCGTTCAAGCCAGAATGGGTAAATAGCTGTTCTGACCCGATTCGCAAGCCATGTTAATTCCAAGTCGCACAACCACCTTCTTTACAGTTTCGTTCTCTTGCATATGCTATCAAGCTTAATTGTCAAGCCTATCGCTTTGCATGTTACAAGATGCATCTAATCCACGCTGCCATCGTCTTCTATGTCTTCACCTATCCTTGCTCGGCCGGCCCGATCGCTCATCTACTTCACAAACCCAGGGACCTGGAGTCTTCTGGTGCATTGTCACAAGCCTCACATGAAGCCCCTGCAGCTGCAATCTCACTCGGGTCTCGAGATCTCATCGAAGGGGATGAAGATCTCTTGACCATCGTTCCTGTGACACCTACCAATCTACCACAATCTACGTCTGCGACAGTCCAAGATGCCTCCAGTTCCAGCGCGACAGTTGCCAGCCTTTTGACTGACGAGCCTTCACCCACAACTGCCTCTACTGTTCAGCAACCTACATCTAGCACACCTGTAGCTGGATCAAGCACAACAGCTCAGGCGGACATGACGGGTTCCAGCGTCGCTGTTCCAGAAGACTCCGTGGCTTCCCAGACCCCGACCAGTCAGCAAATGTCTTCTAGCACAGTTCCAGCTGAAGCAAGTACAGGGGCACAAGGAGAGCCCACCGGCCCTAGTGTAGCTTTGCAGCAGACTTTGCCCAGCACAAGCGCCGCTGTACAAGGATCTTCATTCACACCTACCCCTACTGTTCATGTTGTTCCAACCAACACAGGCGCGACCAGTCAAGGGGATCTGACAAGCTCTAGTAGCTTGGTCGCTCAGCAAGCAAGCACGAGTGCTCTAACCGAAGGAACCTCATCAAGCACCAGTGCCAGTGTCGTTGTTACCGCTAGCTCACATATAGCTTTTCAGCAAGCCTGGTCAAGTACAAGCGTAGCTCTCTCGGAGACGTCACCAGGCTTTTCATCAAGCGCTCTTTCCAGTCCGATTGTGCCAACCGCGTCTGTCTCAAGTCAAGCCGTGCAAGACACCCCAACCCCAAGCGCAACAGCCGGACAGCTGGGTAGTTCGAGCATGGAATCCTTTTTCGGAACAGCTAGCACATCATTGCCAGTGCAGGAAACTTTCAGCTCAAGCATGGTGACTCCGACAACCGCCGTCGCCTCAAGCTCGTTTTTTCAGTCTTCTACACCGGCCTCCACTGGCATTGGATCTTCCGTGCCCGCAACCACCCAATCGTCCTTTACACCTGCGGTTACACCTACGTCAACTTCTGTCGCTAGAAGCTCTGCGGAGAGCTCGTCCTTAAATGTAGCAGAGACCACAACTTCCTCTGGTCCATCGATTGGTGTCATTGAAACCTTGCCTGGATTCAGCACTTCCGTCTCTACTTCTTATGCTACCACTGACTCAGAACCCTCAACTGAGACATCAGACACCTCCAGCAAGAGCAGTGCTGCCCAAACAGCAAACTCAATCACTGCCCCTGCAGAAGCACAGACAACCGGACAAACGAGCACTGCCACCGGTGCTTCAGAGATCACCCGAGTTTCTCAAACACAAATTCAAGTCAACTCCTCTCCTTTCATTGGCGTGGTCCCCGCCACAGGGACCGCAACTGAGACAGAGCCCGAGGAAACGCAGGTAGTGGTCATTCTGGTCACACCTTACCCGTCAACCACCTTGTACGAGACTTCATATCTTGCGTCAGAGTCAGCCACTATCTCTGAATCTGGCGGAGATCCAGTGACGCATACCACTGCAGGGATCGCGGATACCACTGCATCCCCTGAGCCCAACGAGCTCTCATCGCCTTCGTCTGCTTCCCCAACTAATACGGTCCAGACTACAAGCCCAGTTCCAACCACCACACCGGAGACAACCTCCGACCTCACAACTACAGTACCTCAAACTTCCACAGCTATAGAAGCTATTATCGCGACCTCCGAAGAGACCCCTGATATCACAACAACCATTCATCGAACCATAACAGCCTTCGCAACCATCACCGCCGCTCCAAAACCAACAACCGAAGAGATCCACGATATCACAACCACTCAGCAAACCTCCACGGCTATTGAGACGGTTATTATCGCCATTCCCACCACCGCGTCAGAAGCAGGGCTGTCCCAGAGTACAGCAGAGGCCGCAACAATCACTTCGATTCCACAAGGAGACGATCCCACACAAGACGAAGGTGCCTCTATCACCACCGCCAGCGCAGAGTCTACCGATTCCGTTCCAGCCACCTCCCCAGGGGACAATATCATCAAAATCGTCCCTGTTACCCCATCTGGCTTCTTTACTGTTACCGAAACTGCGACGGTGACCACCACCGAAAAGGAGACGGTGACGGTGACGGAGCGGGTAAAGGAAACAGTGACTACTACTGTTGAAGTTGGAGGATTCTAGTTTTGTCTTTTTTGGGGGGATTGGGTGGATTGTTTCATGGCAGATTTTTGAGTCCTTTTCTTCGAAATATAGAGCGAGCCTGCTTTCCCTAGTGTCGTTTATCTTCGTTTGTCTCTTTCTTTTTCTTCATGTCCAGACAACAGGGAATCTCTTATTCCTATACATGCTAATGGTAATCAATTGCTAGGATCGGTGATTCTGCGAAAATGGGGAGCTATGGAATTTTGAGCTATACAAACCACACAATGAACCAAGTGTATCCTATGATCTGTCTCAGACTGAGAAAGAGCTATACAATAGAGCTATATGAGTGGTATCCGTAGTAGGCCCACGGTGGACTGAAATATTTCTGATTAGAGAAAGCGGTGAAAGTATATCGATAGCCCATAACCTTTTTCCTTATCGATAAGGCAGGCCTGCTTGGCGCGTGATGATGATGCCGCAGCAGCGGCAATACTTGGTCTGTTGACAGTCGCCTAACTACTTCCTCCATCTTCCTCCACCCTTGATCCATTGCTTTTTCCAACTTCGCACATATCTAGCTGTGGCGGGATTTGTCTCGTGCTTACAGCAATTGGGAATGGCTGACAGAGCATGGGATCACAGTAGAGCAGCGTGGCTGTATCCTCTGCGTGTATGTCGGGCTATTTTGCCTCCCTTTCCTGCTGCCTATCCGCAACCACTCTCACCAGCACAGTGACTGACATAGACTATTTCTCAGGGAATCTACTTTACCTTCTCCCACCGATACCTTTGGCCGTTGTTCAGGGCTCGGCTGATTCCGATTGTCCTGCTCTCTGCGTTCATCTACGTCCTGCTATTCCTGTTTGCGTATCTGCCGCAAGTGGCTTTCCTCGCGATATTCCAGGGTGCTGGCGCATGGGTCAGTGGCGCGGTCCTCGTTCTCGGCGAAGGGGCCGCGATCGTGGCGATTCTGTTCGAGGCCTTCTTCGTCGATGAGACGCTGGTGGACATCTTCGACGCGGTGCTCGTGAGCGAAGGCCACGGCGACCTCGTGAATGCCTCGCGGGTCTTATACCCACAAGGCGACGATGTCGTACAGCGACTCGGCAAACCCACCCAGAGCGCCGTCTATGCGCCGTTCTCCCTGCGGCAAATTCTGGAATTCATTGTCCTGCTCCCGCTGAACCTTATTCCCTTCCCAGGCGGCACCCTCATGTTTCTCGTGTTGACGGGCTATCGGGCGGGGCCCTTCCACCACTGGCGCTACTTCCAGCTGCTGGATCTCTCGAAGCAGCAGCGGAAGGAGAGGATACGTCGCCGGCAGTTGCAGTATACTACGTAAGTGACTTCCCACCCTGGATCTTCGGGGGCGGACGGTGCACTCCGCCCTCTTCGGAGGAAGGATCCACCGACTCGGATACTTAATTAACCACAACCCTAGATTTGGGACGGTCGCCCTGGTGCTTCAACTAGTTCCAATCTTGTCCATGTTCTTCCTCATGTCGACCGCGGTTGGGTCGGCACTTTGGGCAGTGGAGCTGGAAAATCGACGCGATCCTTTGGGCAGGAGGCCTGGGCGAGATGGTGTTTACCGCGACGACGATCCTTTGATATGATGGGGGGTGAGCGGTTCGATGCATGTTTTGGTTTTGTCTTTCTTTTTTCACTTGTTTTTTTCTTTTCTTTCTTTCTTTCTTTCTTTCTGATGTATAGTTGATTGATTAGGTATGACTTTTAATATGTGAGACTTTTTGTGAGGCTTTTCTTTTACTTTAATTAATTATCGCGCCCAATTGATGTGCATCTTGGCATTAGTATCGGTATTAGCACTCAGGATTATATTTTTGGTTTTTTTATTTGTTTTCTCTTTTGTTTATGTCATTGATATTTTTCGGGATCTATGTTTCCTTTTTTTAATTTCTTTTTCTTTTTTTTTCTTTCTGTGTTATTTATTTTCTCGTGTAAGAGAGGGTCTTCAACACACCTAACTCATCTCCTCATACTACCTCGGCTCGGAAAAGCCGAGGGCAGAGAAGGGCTAATGTTTCCATTGTTCAGAAACTCACCGGGGAGGAGGGCGCTCATTCCTCAAAGCTTACCAGGTCACCACCCTCTGGTTGCATTGTTGCCTGCAGTTTCAGCAGTTTAAGCAGCAAGCCCGTTGATGACCTTAACTTCTTTTAGGGGCCGGTTAGCGTGCGGGAGCAGACGACCAAAAGGGAATCTCCCCCTGACGGCAAACTCTACCGGGGCGCCGGCGGCCGACTGTCCACCGATCATGGATCATGGATGGATCATGGATCGCTCTCTTCACTGGGCTTTGCCGTATCGACTCACCCGCTATTCCGATCTCCCTCTTGGTTCGGCCAGTGAACTGCCAGCCTGCCATACAGAGGGCACGAACCGCAATCTATTTTCCGAAGACCGTACAGTACAGTGAGCACTGAGTACACAGGGCAATCAAGGCAAGCAATGCAATTAATGAGGATGAATGAGGGTTATTGCCTCTTGGGCAGCACTCTTTTCATTACGCAGTTGGTCGCTCACTGCTCACTGCTCACTGCTCACTGCTCCTCCTCCTAGATTGATAACACGTGACGTATACGAACCAAGCATTCCTCATCCTCGTTTTTCCTCTTCCACGTGGAAAACTCACAAACCACGTTTCAAAAAACATGGTGCTTCCTTGTCCTCGGTCGTTTCACCATCTCATCCCAGAAATCCCAAGAACGAGAATCAGAAACACTGGTCTATACCAGGGGTCAGCTTCTAGAACCAACCAAAACGGTCATCTACCTAGTACCTACTGAGTACTGCCGCGTTGAGTACTGAGTAATGCGTATTCACTATCGACCAGTAACTGGGTTACTGTTCCCCTCCGGTATATCCCGGCGGTAAATCCCGGGTGATCGATGTGGTTTACCATTGGGTTACCATTGGACCTGCACTTTTCGATCGACAGCGGAGTCGACCCAAGTTAAAGTACATTCCAGCCAGTCCGCCTAAGCTTGTCGTCCCAAGAGGCCCCAAAATTCTACCTCCACCTGGGCGGGGAATCTTTAGGTCCGTGGTTAATCCTCTTCCCATGCGTCCGGATCCTATCATTTCATCCCTTTCATGAGGTCACTCCGGGGTCACTTTCTTCACCTTCCCTTCAACTTCCAGGGAACCCTCCCTCAACGGCTTTGTGACCCTTCTAGACGTGTTGTCAGCCTAGACTATTCACCCATTTTCAATAGAGACTATACCTATTTCTTCAATGATCTAACCTCTATATGGTGATCAACCCTTTATTTTACCTCATCGGAACGGGGGCCGTTATACTACTGAGTTTAACCCACTGCTCAATCTTCCTTCTCCCCCCCCCCCTCTTTCCCTCCCCACCTCTCCGGTCACTCTGCTGCCACTGCCAGGTGCAAGAACAATATTATTAAACTAACGGGCCATCGAGGTCAACCTAGTATTCTGATTCCGCCGCCCACTAATACTATTTGCATATAGCCTAAGAACCTACCCTTACTGACTAAACCGTGATTCGTGTTGCGCCCTTCTCCGGATCTTCCTTCATTATCTACGTACTACTCATCTCATCTCATCTCATCTCGCATCCGCTCCATCCCGCCCCGTGCCCGACAGCGCCGCTGCAGCATCCAGCCAAGCCACAATTTGCTGGGTCCGTAGTATGCGAGCGCCGCCTGGTCACTGCCGGGAGAAACGCGACCAGCGTGCAGTTTTCCAGGGTCCACGCCCACAAAGCATGGAAAAGTTCAACCAGCTCGATTTGCATTCATGGACCAACGAACCCGCCTGCGGAAGGCATGCGATGCCTGCAGCATTCGGAAAGTAAAGGTACATACACACACCTCCTGGTCCGATGTTTGATTTTGTGAAGAGGTAAAGTATGCTGATTTGCGTCGGAATTGACCACAGTGTGACACCAGCGGACCGCCCTGTCGGTCATGCGCAAGCTTGGACATCCCCTGCACGTATGAACGGCCAAGCCGCCGTCGGGGACCGCCAAACCGACATGCTGAAGCTTTCAAGAAGCGAAAACTCGCTGAATCTCCATCGGGTTCTCCAAGCCCGTCAGATCCAACCTCGCCTCTTCCCCCAACCCCTGGAGGAGGCGGGATCCCACCCTCACTTGCCTATCCCGCATCACTGGAAGCCATTTGTTCGATGCCCACCATCCGGCTGCTGATTGATGACTATTTTACCTATATTCACCCCTTAGTCCCGATCCCGCATGAGCCCACGTTCCGCGCCGCGCTGGAGCGGCGAGAGGATCTCACCAATCGCACCTTTCTGGCGCTCGCGGCCGCCATGATCGGGACGTCGGTCGCGTCTTTCCCTCGGAGACCAAAGCGTCATCTGACGACGGATGCCGAGAAAGCGGCGTTCCCGCACTCTATGGCACTGGTCAAACGGTGCCACGAGGTAGCCGTTCAGGCTCGAGGTACCGGATACCTCGATCGGACCGCGACCGTGTATGATGCCGCCCTCAGCTACCTTCTCGGCCTCTGCTCCTGCTACGCTTGGCATATTCGACGATGCCGTGTATATTTTGCCGAATGCCTCACCATGCTCCATGTGTATGACCTTTACCGCCACTCGAACCGCCTATCCTATGTCACCATCTCCAGTCCCCAGTCTGCCTCGTCGCGTCTTTCTCAGGAACCCAACGGTGGCTCCGGAGAAGCCCCAGTCAACATTATCGAGCGGGAACTGGGGCGGCGGCTGTTTTACGTCGTCCTTGTCGGCTATCGCACGATGCAGCAGTTGGGTGGAGGCGACACCATCATTCATGTGCCCCCTGAGACCCCGACAGAACGCTATCCTCCTCTCCCGCTTGAAGTCGACGACGAGTTTATATATGCCACACACTTCGATCCCCAGCCATCTAACCGCGTGTCGCGCCTGGTGGGCTTTATTGCCAACATCCGCGTGATGAGCTCCTACAATCAGCTCTCGGCTTGGGAGACGGCCTTTGGAAGCGGTCAGATCCTGGAATGGGAGCGACAACGCTCGCTTTTATGCCAATGCCTGCAGAATGCCAAGGCGGCCTTCAATGAGCTTCCACGAGAGCTGGTTATCGGGGGAATTCAGAGCCCGGCATCAACCAATGGACGAGATAGCCCCAGCCCACTGTCCAGCACGAGCGATCCGCGATCTTATGAACGTCACGTACAGTATGAGATCCAGAAGGCGAACATATATGCCAGTCAGCTTGCTGTCCGATCTTACCTGGTGGAGAAATACTGGTCCTTGTACGGCGCTGTGAAGATGCACCAAAAGCCGACCGAGCAGCATCCTTCTGGCAGTCCTTCGGTGGCCGTCAAGACTGAAGGGGGCCAACCGCATACTCAGGCAGCCATGGACGCGGATGCCCAGTCCGACTACATCGGCAGGACCATGGCTGAAGAACGACGACTCGTGATTCGGGACCTGTTCGCATTACTGCAATCGGTCAATGAGGTCAACATGGAGCCTAACGGCGCGAGCTTCGTAAGTGTCCCCTCTCCTTCCCCTTCGTCTCCGATAACGCAAATACTCATCAGCTATTGGAAACAGACGGCGAAGGTTCGCCAGGTTGCGTCAACCCTCCTGAACTTCTCGAATCCGAATGCGACCTCCACGATAAGCGGTCCACAACCCCTCACCAGCGCCGAAGTCGAGTCCTACCTCCGCGCCTTTATCGACACACTCATGCGCCTTGAAGGGTTTGGGTCGACCGATCCGAGCAAGGCTCGACAGCAACCGGACGTTTCCGGACGGTCCATGAGTTATCTGAGCGACCATGACCGGGACGAAGAGGAGCTGCGGCAGTGGGCCGGCATCAAGGAATATCAGGCCCGGTTCGCCGAAGAAGGGGGGATGGCTTTTCAACTATAGGATTTTCTTGCTTCTGGGGAGCATACAACGAACGCATCTGCTGTTGTTTGTGCTTGACTGGCATTGTTTGGTGATTGGTTTGAGATTTGTTTTTAGCATGTTGTGTCCAGCGGAGTCCGGTGGAGTTTGCTTTTGAACTGACTTCTAGGTTGTCTGTCTGAATTAGCGGCCTGCGTTTGACTTGCTTGCTTGCATGTGCCTGGGGTGTTTGTAACAGTAGGAATGGGACCAATTGGGCCGGGTGGCTGTTGTGCTTGTTGTTTTTTCTTCTTGTGAATTGGGGCTGGGACAGTTGCGTTTACGTTTGCATGCATATACAAGTACAGATATACCATGGCGCATCCTTCAACATCATGTAAATTATAAAAAAAAGTATCGACCGTCAAAACTGCCCGTGTTTCCTCATGATTTCGATAAAGGCTGTAAATTGCGGGTTGCGGTGGACCAAACTTAGGCGTACAGCCAAGGGAAATTACCCGAGCCCCGGCAAGCCTAGCTTATCGATAAGCCAAAGGCGGTCAACGACCGCCTATAAGAATGAAAATTTCTCCCGCCGCTCCTCTCAGATTCTTTTTCTTTCTTCATACATATACTGATCACTCCTCCCTATTCACTTCGAGAATCCTTTTCCCGTGGGTTCTTGAAGGGGAAATGGGAGGTCAGAGCAACATCTGCTGACTTACCCCGGACTCTTCTCTACCTTTGGCGTGGAGCGTTTGGAAATTACTACAGCGGGACATCCCCTCCAGCCTTTTTCGCAAGTTCTTTTTGAGCTTGCGGCTTGCTCGACGACACGGAGAAGGACTTTTTTTTTTTTCCCACAGTAGTGCCGTATTGTACATGTCATCGGTAGTCTTAAAGAATGATATCGACGCAGTCCCCTAGCTGGCTGATACACGCCGTGGGCTCGACCCCGGGCAACGCGCGGTCCGTCCAACCCGCCTGGTCCCGATCGACCCAGATCGTCTTCAGGCCTGCCCTCGTCGCGCCGGCGATATCGAATGGATTCGCGCTGACGAGCCAGATTATTCCCCCCGCCGCCGCGCTGCCGCCCACCTGCGCCTGCAGGTGCCGGTAGGTCGCCGGGGCGGGCTTGTACTGCTGCACGGCATGCACACTGACGATCTCCATCTCTATCTGCTGTAGCGCCGGCGATGCGGCGTGGCGCAGACCGGCGCGCACCATCTCCACGGTCCCGTTGGAAAAGACCACCGGCCTGATCCGCGTGGCTGCGATCTTCTGCAGCGCGTCCTCGACGTCCGGGAACGGCTGCAGGCGATCGTAGGCCGCGAGGACGCTGTCGATCTCCGGCTCGCTGAGGAAGGATCCGGTGTCGTTGAGCGCGTGCTGCAGAGCGTTTCGGGTGACTTCGTTGAAGGGGAGATAGTGTCCTGGAGGTTTGGGTTTGGGTCTGGATCAGGGTTCTGTAGATGGGCTGGGGCACGGGGCAGGGTGCTGTTGATGGATGTACTGTACCCATGCTGTTCAGTCGCCAGGTATACTCCAGCTGGTAGCGGCGCCAGGTCTGGGCCACGGTGTGCGCGCGCTCGGCGTCCGCCTGCAAGTGCTGCGACAGCTCGTGCGTGGCTGATTCAAAGGACAGCAAGGTCCCGTAGATGTCGAAGGCGACGATCACTTCTGCCATTGTGCTGGTTGGTTATTGCTGAGAGTCGCATCAAGGGAGGGAGGAAATGGAATTCAGAATCCAGAAGAGCAGTAAGAATACTTGAGCAAAGTATGGAGTTAAAAGTCGAGGTAAGAGTAGAAGTATAAGAATAAGCAAACTCCCGCCGCGGAAACCCCACAGTTTGATTGATGATGTCAAACCACCGCCATCGCATTTTCCGCCGCCGCCGCCGCCGCCTCTATCTCTGGCGTGTACAACGTTGTCTGCTCCTCCTCGTCCGACTCCAACATCTGCCATCGATGACCAACACCGAAAACTACCAGGTCTTCCGCGAGTGCCTGTCCACGGCCATCGTGGAGAAATTCTCCACCCCCGCGCAGCCCAAGAAGGCTCGTCGCACGCGCGGCGCTGTTTCTCAGCGTCAGAAAACGCGCAAGGACCCTTCGGGGACTTCCGCTGCTGCTGACGCCTCGCAATCTCTCCCTGACCGTGCGAGTCCAGAGGAATTGGCTGAGTTTATCGATGTGCGTGATGGTTTTGTCATTGTGAAGTCCCCTCCAGCAGCGCATACCCAGACTCAAACACTCCGCGGGCACTCCATGCCTCCATGAATGAGTTATGGCATATGCCTATGCCCATACCCTCCCTTCCACATCCCCATGAACCAAGAGTTTCCACTGAGTGGCTACCAAGAGCCCGCGCAGCAATACAATTCCAACAACAATTACAATTTGAAACTAAGAAAGGGAAGAACAGTTCCTCGCAACCGAAACCTTCCCCGCGCTGCCCCCCTCCATCCAAACCCTAACCTACACTCCTCCACCACCGCCAACAACAACAACAACAACCACAACACCAAGCACCAGAAATCCACCGACAACAACCCCCTCCACTCCCACCACCACCCGCAACACCACCGAAGCTAGCGCCCCCGAAACCGACCCCCGCGCCCTCGCCGAAACCCTCTGCAGCACCACCCTCCCCGCCTCCGTCCACGACACCCTAACCACCTACGCCCTGCTTGCCGACACTCCCGTACAGGATGGCGCCGACGCCGACGCCCTCGCCACCTTCTTCACCCCGATTCTTACCGAGTACATCGGCGCCGTGACGCGCCCGCCCCCCGTGTGGGCGACGACCCGCACCGACAGCTGCGAGATCTGCGGCCGCGACTGGATCCCGCTGAGCTACCACCACCTCATCCCGCGCAGCGTGCACGCCAAGACCCTCAAGAAGGGGTGGCATCCGGAGTGGATGCTCAACAGTGTCGCGTGGCTGTGCCGCGCGTGCCATAGCTTTGTGCATCGGATGGCGGGCAATGAGGAGCTGGCCAGGGAGTGGTTTACCGTCGACCGGATCTGCGAGCGCGAGGATGTAAGGGTCTGGGCTGCTTGGGTGGGGAGGGTGCGGTGGAAGGCGAGATAGATGATTCTTCTAGCTTTTGGGAGGGAGGGGATTAGGGGGAGGATGTAGATAAAGGACTAGAGTGAGGGCGAAGTGCTGAAGATGAGAGTTTTGATACACTATATACATATACACCTGTCCACAACTAAACCAACCCCCCCCCCCCCTCCCTTCTTCCACCCGGATAACTCGTATGCAAAAAGTTGTCTATGTGGTATCCGGTTATTTTAGACTAATATACAAGAATCAACCGTCCCCCTTGTGTATTCCAGGGCCCCCCATGCTTTGCGGGTCTTCCGGCGTACATGCATCTCCTACGAGATGCAAGAAAAACTGATAATAGTACAGCAAAGCCAAAAGCACCCGTGATAGTGCAGAAGAGGCACCAGGTACCCGCCGTTCTACAAATACCGCTTCTCGAAAATCTCCTCGTAGCACTGCACGTGGTCGCCGACCTCGAAATCAGACCAGCCCTCGAAGGCCATGCCGCACTCGGTGTCCTTGCGCATCTCGGTGACGTCCTTCTTGACGTTCTTGAGCGAGACGATCGTGCCCGTGTAGATGGTCTCCTGGCCGCGCAGCACGCGCACCTTCTTGGTGCGGTTGATGAGCCCGTTGCGCACGCGGCAGCCGGCGATGGACATGCGCTCGCGCGCCTTGAGCTTGATCTCGAAGATCTCGCCGATCTCCGCCTCGCCCGTGACGCGCAGCGTGACCAGCGGCGGCAGGTGCTCGCTCAGCGTCGCCTTGACGTCGTCGATGAGCCGGTAGATCACGTTGTGGTCCTTGATCGCCACGCCGCGCGACTCGGCCATCTGCGTGATCCGCGGGTCGATGGCCATGTTGAACGAGATGACGTGCCCGCCCGCCGACGCCGCGTGCTCGATGTCGAACTCGCTCACCGGCCCGACCTCCGCCCGCAGCACGTTCGCGTACACCTCGTTGTTGCCCACCGCCGTCACCGAGTTGAGGACCGCCTCCGCCGACCCGTGCACGTCCGCCTTGATGATGAAGTGGATCGGCTTGGGCCCCGACTGGACCTCGTCCTGTTCCAGTCCGGCTTCCTGGAGGCGGCGCCGCTCCATCAGCTCGCGGCGGGCCTCGTTCATCGCCGTCGTGTCCTCCCCCAGCTTCGACGTCTCGGACCGCTCGAGGCGGTATTCAACGACGGACTTGGCCTGCTGCTCGTGCTCCGCCTGCAGGAACTCCGTGCCTGCCGTCGGCTGTTCGCGCCACCCGTCCACCTCGACCGGCATGCCCGGGGTGGCTTCTTTGACGGCGACCCCGGCTTCGTTGCGCAGGGTGCGCACCCGCGCCCAGGTTTCGCCGGCCACGATGATGTCCCCGACGCGCAGAGTGCCGCGGCGGATGAGCACGGTGGCCACGCGCCCGTAGCTCTTGGTCGTGCCTTCCACCACCCATCCTTCGACGTTGCCGGTGGGGTCGGCGCGGTGGTCGAGCACCTCGGAGAGCGTGATGATCGCTTCTTCCAGCTCCAGCATGCCGGCGCCGGTTTTACCGCTCACGCCGATCGCCTGCACGTCGCCGCCGAAGTCCTCGACGTGAACGCCGTGGACGGAGAGATCTTGCTTGACCCGGTCGGGGTTGACGCCCTCCTTGTCCATCTTGCTCATGGCCACGATGATCGGCACGTTGGCCGCCGTCGCGTGCTTGATCGCTTCGATCGTCTGCGGCTTGACACTGTCGTCCGCAGCCACGACCAGCACGACGATATCGGTGATGTCGGCACCGCGGCGACGCATGTCCAAGAACGCCGCGTGACCCGGGGTGTCGAGGAAGGTGATCGTCTTGCCCGAGGGCATGGACACGGAGAAGGCGCCGATGTGCTGGGTGATGCCGCCGTGTTCCGAGTCCACAATCGAGGACTTGCGAAGCCAGTCCAGGATGGTGGTCTTGCCGTGATCGACGTGGCCCATGATCGTCACCACCGGCGGCCGGGGTGGCAGGCTCGATGTATCTTCGGGCTCCGGCGCGGCGGTCAGCTCGTCCTCACCGGTGTCAAAGACGGGCTCGAAGTTGTATTCGGCGGCGATGAGGCCGGCGGTTTCCGCATCCAGAACGTGGCTATGCGTGACGTTCTCGAAGCCCATCTCTTCCATTCGCTGGATGAACTGCGCCTGCCGCACACCGATGACGTCCGCGAGATTGCTGACGCTGATGAACTCGGGTAGATATAGAGGACTGGGCTCGGCGACTTCGGCCTCGACCTCTTCTCTCCGCTCCTCCCTCTTCTTGCGCTTCTTGTCCTTCTTCTCTTGACGACGTCGCTGGTAGTCTTCCGTATCGAATTCATCCTCATCCGCGAACGTGAGGGGTTTCGCGCGACCCCCTCGTCGCTTAGACCACTTGTCAGACGAGCCTCCCACGTCCTGCTGCGTATTGAGTTTGTCCAATGCGGAGGTATCCCATGACCAGTCGTGGACAGACTTTTGAGGTTTGTCTTGCGTTTGCTTTTCCATCTCCTCCTGCTCCTGCTGCTGTCTTTGCTCTTCTTCGTATCTCGTGGCATATTCGTCCAAGGCCTGGTTTCGCTCATCCCAAGACGGCGTACTGCTGCTGTCCAATTTCCGAATGGTGAAGGGTTTGTTCGGCTGTTCCGACCTTAGCTCAGGCCTGGGGGCCATGCAGCAAGGGCAAGCCTTCTCCGTCCCGGTGCAAAGGTAACGGCAGTCTGGGCAGGTCCAATCCACCGTCTGAAGGTGCTCGGGAATCTGATCGTAGCGACTGCGCCTTGCCCCATCAGGCCGGAAACGTCTATAGTCTTGCGACATCATGTCTTCGGAGGAGCGCCAATTGCTGTCATACCGATCGTTCATTCGCCTATTGCTGTCATACCGATCGTTCATTCGCCTATTGCTGTCAAACCGATCGTTCGTTCGCCAATTGCTGTCAGACCGATCGTCCGTTCGCCTATTGCTGTCATACCGATCGTTCATTCGCCTATTGCTGTCAAACCGATCGTTCGTTCGCCAATTGCTGTCAGACCGATCGTCCGTTCGCCTATTGCTGTCAAACCGATCGTCCGTTCGCCAGGAATCGAAGCGATCTCTGCGCGGCCTAAAGCCATCGTGCTCGATGGAGCGCTCTTGGTGTGACCGAGATCCTTGATGTTGCCATCTGGAATGTGACCTATCACCGTGTAAATGTGGATGTTGACTCTGTTGCTGCTCGAGCAGGGACTCTCGCATTGCCTTCTCTGCCGGGCTCAGACCAATGGATGTCGTGGCCCTAGTTCCCCAACGAGGAGCTGCAAATTTGCGACCCGTTGCAAACTTGTTCGAAGTCTCTGAGGAGTGGAGATCCACCGGACTCTGCTGCGCCTGTTGCTCGGCTACCAGCGCATCTCGTGCTGCCTTCTCTTCCGCATTCAGGCCCACTGATTGGAATTTCCTATCTCCTGAACGGATAGTAAACCCCGTCTGGGCGGGAGAGCCCTTTGCCGCGTCGTTCGGGGATTCTGAGAGGGGAGTGTCGGCGGTTTTATCTGATGTCTCTAAGGTGGTTTCTGAAAGATTCTTCTGCGCCTGTTGCTTGGCTGCCTGAGAGTCTCGCGCTGCCTTCTCTTCCGGGCTCAGACTCGTTGCTGTGAATCTCTTATCTCCGAAACGAATAGTGAACTCGGCGGAACCCGTTTTGAAGTTATCGGATGATTCGGACGGGGTGTCTGAGGAATTGGTTTCTGGGGGAGCCTGCTGTGCTTGCTGTTTGGCTATCAAAGCATCTCGCATCGCCTTCTCGGCCGCACTCAGACCCGTGAATTTGGACGCTTTGCTTCCCCAGCGGGAAGTGAACTTTGCGCCAAAGGGAGAGCTTGTTCCGGGACTTTGCGAGGATATTGAAGGGGTTGCACTAGCAAGATTGTTTGCATTCTCCGGAGGGTTGATGCTTGGACTGTCCTGCTGCGCCCGTTGTCTCGCCGATTGTGCCGCCAGCAGAGCCTCTCGCCGTGCTTGCTCTTCCTCTTTCTTCGCCTTCTGTTGCGCTATTGACGCATCTCGCCGGGCCCGAACTTCCTCTTCCTTCGCCTTCTGTCGTGCTATTAAAGCCTCTTGCTGTGCTTGCTCTTCCCGTCTCTTCGCCTCCCGACGTGCTTCCTCTTCCCGTTGCCTGGCCTGCTGTCTGGCTAGAATAGCATCTCGCTGGGCCTGGTCTTCTTCGTCCTTCGCCTTCTGCCTTGCTAATAAAGCATCCCTCCGCTCCTGCTTCGCTCTTTCTTCTGCCAGCAAGGCATCTTGATGTGCTTGCTCTTCCCGTAGTTGCTCGTGTTGTTTCGCCACCATAGCATCTCGTATTGCCTGCTCTGCCGGGCTCAGGCCTACCGATCGCGTGGCCTTGCTTCCCCAACGGGGAGCGAATTTCCGGGGCGTTCCGGAGTCATTTGGAGAGTCTGAGGAATCAGCACATGCGGGAAAGGCTCGGAAACCCCTCCGGGGCACAGGGTTCAACACTGGGGCGAAAGCAGCATTTCTGCGGGCTGTTGCGCAGGACCAATCGACACCTTGACGGCGAGAAAGCTAGGAGAGATATTTCACGTTAGTGTCTGAGAGGGGCTGAAGGCAGATATATTTATTCTAAACGATATGCTCACCTCCAAGGCAGCTCGCCTGTGCATGATGAAGGTCGTTGCTCGCAGCGTTCTCCTTGGCGTCAAAACTGCGGCGTACGAGGAAAGTTGTCGGAGACGTCACGGACATGGAAGTACTCAACCTCCGCCCGTTAACTTAACTTACGATCCGATCCGACCGCATTGAGTGGACGTAAGATGACCGTAACGTAAGTTACGCACTCCAGTAGTTATGAGGGGAGCTGACTCAGCGTTATGCTTGTCCCGTTTCACGTGCATCGTCGGCGCCTCTGCCGAATCGGAGGCCGCGATCGGGGAATGGGGAATGGGGCTATCACCTCATCGCTCTCCGATAAGCTTCTCTTTCTCCCCTGCCTCCTCGCTGCCTCTTCTCTTGATCTTCTCTCTCCATACCGATCGCTGAGGGATTCTGGGCTGCTTGGACCGCGGAAACGCCTTCTTTGGTGCTTCAAAAACCTCACTTCCTGTGAAACCCCTCTCCACTCCACCCATTTTCGCTTTTCCGGGCGTGGTCAAGTTCCCCGCAATGGAGTCCGAGGCTTTTGAGGATATGCAGAAGGGCGGCGGCAGCCTTCGCGCTGTCAAGGACTTGACGGCCGGTGCTGCTGGCGGCATCGCTCAGGTGCTCATTGGTAAGTGCTCAGCTATTCTGTTCTGTGATTCCTGCTAGCAATGCGTCATGTATTCCCCGATTGGAGCATGGCCTCGACTTTCCAATCTATCTCCGCATGCCGCAACTACATAATACTATCGCTGCCAAATGATCGCGTCGCACCGTGACTGAGTACTAACGATTCCCTAGGTCAACCTTTCGGTAGGTAAACGGACGCTCTCAAGATTCGTTCATTCGCAAGCTTCTCACCAATGGCCCCTCCCCATAGATATCGTCAAGGTCCGCCTGCAGACAACCACGCAGTACGCCAGTGCGCTTGACTGCGCCACCAAGATCCTGAAGAACGAGGGTCCCACGGCCTTCTACAAGGGCACCCTGACGCCTCTGATCGGTATCGGAGCCTGCGTACGTCTTTTATCGTTCCCCCGGGAACCTCCCTTCTACCTCGACATCCCCGCATTAACCCCTCTTTGTTGCAGGTGAGCGTCCAATTCGGCGCGTTCCACGAAGCCCGGCGGCGGCTGGAGGCGCTCAACCAGAAGAAATACGCGGACCCGACGCTCTCGTACACGCAGTACTACCTGGCGGGCGGGTTCGCGGGGATCACGAACTCGTTCCTGTCGGGGCCGATCGAGCACATCCGCATCCGGCTGCAGACGCAGCCGCACGGGGCCGGCAGGCTGTACCAGGGGCCGATCGACTGCATCCGCAAGCTGTGCAGCCAGGGCGGCGTGCTCAGGGGTCTCTACCGGGGCCAGAACGTGACCTACCTCCGCGAGATTCAGGCCTACGGCACCTGGTTTCTGGCCTTCGAGTACCTGATGAACGCGGACGCCCGCCGCAACGGCGTCCGCCGCGAGGAGATCTCCAGCCTCAAGGTCGCCACCTACGGCGGCCTCGCCGGCGAGGTCCTCTGGCTCAGCAGCTACCCCTTCGACGTCGTCAAGAGCAAGATGCAGTGCGACGGCTTCGGCCCCGCCCAGCAGTTCCGGAGCATGACCGACTGCTTCCGGAAGACCTATGCCGCCGAGGGGCTGGCCGGCTTCTGGAAGGGCATCGGCCCCACGTTGCTCAGGGCCATGCCCGTCTCCGCGGGGACTTTTGCCGTGTATGTTTTATGGCCTGCCTTACCCCCCTTCTTTTGCCTTGTGTCTTGGACGGTGGAATCCAATGCTAACTTTTGACTGCAATAGTGTCGAGCTTACGATGAGAGCCTTGGGATGAGGTATAGGATATATACTGAAAATAAAAAAAATCAACAGCTCAATTCGAAATACCCTGCCTGCATTTTTGTTGTCATCTTATCGTTCTCCTGATATTCATCCAGTACTTGTTTTCCAACAGCAAGGAAAAGGGGGGTGGGCACAAGTGGCATTTTCTTTTAGACTGGATCTTGGAAATCGTTGTTTAGCGGGAATCGCAACATACTTCGGATAGAATATTCTATGCAGGCAATTTCAGGTTCAACAAAGCAGCTGGATTCAACTTATCTGGGCTTATTAACCACGAACGAGAATTCAAACAGAGTATGCCCCCCTGACTCTTCCAACGCAACAGATGATCCATACGAAGAAATCAAGTGCGTAATCAATCAGCTTCCAAACCCCAACGAAAAGTCCCCAAAGAAATCCTGCCACGCCGTCGGGAAATAGAACAGGTTCAGCCCGGGGAAATCCCAGTCACGCACGAACTGCTCGGGAACGAACGACTGCAGATCAACCTGCGCATCGAACAGATCCCAGAAGTAAGAAGTGGTTTGTTCGGCGGCGGCTGCTGCTGCTGCTGCTGTCGTCGGCTCCTCTACTGTTGCTGCCTCTAAATCTGCAGTGGCTGTCGTACCTCCACCACCACCACCACCACCACCACCACAAGGACTGCTGTTGCTGTTACTGCTGCTGCCGCCGCCGCTGTGCTCTCCACCAAAAACCCCCGCTCGTTCCCGCTCCTGTCCCTGAAATATACGGCTGTACTTCTCGATGCTTAAGCGAAGGATATGCATGTAGACATTCCCCATCCCTGCACCTGTTGCTGATGCTGATGCCAGACCCTGACCGGTGGCGGCTCCTGATCCAGGATCGGTGATATGCGAGGACGGTGACGTGGTTGACGCTTCGGCAGCACAGCGGCGATTTCTAGGCACGAGATCCAGATTGACAGCCGATGTCTCCCCGCCCTCAGCCGACCGGGTCAACTCCCACAGGAGCTTGTTTCCGAGCTCCAGCAGCTCCTGGTGCTCGTCCCGCGGCTCGGGGAGCAGGCGGGAGAGTTTCAGCAGCAGCAGGAAGCAGAAGGCGCATTTGGCCCAGACGAAGTCCATGGCGTATTTGAGCTTGGCGAGGTAGAAGGCGGGCTCGAGGCTGATGAGGCGGAGGTGTTGGCGGGCGGCGGATTTGGCGAGGTGAAGGATGTTGCGCTCTAGGGGGGTGATGGCTCTGTTTTAGTTCAACGAGAGGTTAGTGCTTGGGTATGTGATGGGGTTATGGGGGATGAAGCGGGATGGCTTGTTGTAGGGAGCAGTTTTGTGAGGAATGAAACTGTAGCTGGACTTACGCTACGTTCTCCACGCCCATGGAGCGCAGCGCTTTGCAGTGGAGGATGAGCTCGGCCCAGCAGTGTTGGACACTCAGCGCGGCCAGGAGGAATGGCCGTTCTTCTTGGGCTGGCGGGGAGTTGACTTTGAGGGTGACATTCAGTATAAGTTACATGCTTTGGCCTAGGGGCTGGAATGGCTAAGGAGCTCACCGATGATGCGCTGCCAATCACTGGGCACGTTAGTGCTGAGATTCGTGGACAGGACATAACAGGTCATGGGACTCACTCAAACCAGAGATCAAGATCGACCTTGGCCTCGTGTACAAACTCGGCGATTGCTTCTCGAGTTAGACGGTCTCGGACGTCTAGTGTGTCGTTGATGTTGGCTATATACACCGCTGATTAGTATGCTTTATCGCATCCTCTGGAACAGCTTTGGATGCACACCTCGAATAACATTCAACTTGTATCGACGATCAGCTACCCTCATCACAACGCGATCTTCAAAACCTTACCTCAACCTGAGAGAAAAGACGCATATCTAATACCGTCGACGAAGGATGGTGCAGCAGGATCCGGCATCGCTGAGCATTCCCCATCATTCGTATCCCAGGTGGCTTGCCACCGTCAACGTGGAATCTGAGCACAATATCCATCAGCTTTTACCCAGCATGAGTGGCTTCAGAGGAGGCGTTACATATGATCCAGTACCAGGAGCCCAAACCATGTCCTGGACTTCTGCACCAAACAGCGCACCTGTGCTTCCATGCTATCACCGGTACTTCTCGACGTGTCATTGGTCCTCTTTAATGTTAGTAGCTGAATCAGCTCTTCGAACGCTTCGTCCAGACCAAGGTCCAACGCCATTCTGGCAGCAAATGATAGAATCAGCGAGCGTTCGGCGGTGTAGCACGCGACGATCAGAAGCGCCTGTACCGACTCCAGGCGGTTCAGGTTCTTGTTTTGGATCACAATGCCAATGCATTTCTTGAGTTCGGCATGCAGCAGATCGGGAACTTGAGATGCGGGGCCTGCACGCTATCACTCAGTATGCTACCATATCAAGAAGCTTAGGGAAGGAATCGCAAGATACCCGTCGCTTTGGTCATTTCCACGCGGCTGCCAATCGTGCAAAGCGCGTTCAGCAGTATGCTGCTGCGAGAGCGCACCGAGGTGAAGGTGTCGACCTCCGGGTCGAAGATGGGGATGTACCTATCCTAGAAAGCTCATCAGCATGTGATACTCGCTAGGTCCAGCGTCGAGCACGACATACGCAGCCCTGGAAGAACCTAGTTCACTCCCTATCAGCACATCTCATCGAGTCACATTTCTGGGGGGGAAAGAAAGCGCATACGTTCTGAAACAAGCTACCGCTTGATCAGCAGTCATTAAGCCCTTGGATATGAAGTCCAAGATGGGCTCTTCCTTAACCTCAAAGCCAGGGCGCTTCCGCTTGAATGGACGAGCTGTCTCCGTGTCCATCGCTGATGGAATCTGCGACGAAGCAGACAGTCCTCGTTGTGGATGAAACTCGGATCCCCTGTCGGGATCGAGCGCAGAAGTCGCCGCAGCGAAAAGCATGGGCATGCCTCCTGGATCAGAAACCGTATGAATCGGAACCGGGAAAGCTGCTTCGGCGGGGTATGCACGATGCTGTTCCATGACTTGGCCCCGAGCATGCTGCACTTGCCCGAGTCCTTCGGCTTGAAATTGTTGCGTGGAGAGACGAAGAAGCTCGCCCATGGCCTCTATCTGTGCACGGAGACGCTGGACTTCAGATTCGACGTTCTCCAGTCTCCTTGCGGGGTATTAGAAAGCTGATATGGTGGTGCTGCGGGATGGGATGGAAGGGACGATGTGCGTGACATGGATGATTGGGCATACTCAGTGGTGGGATCTTTAGGGGCTTCGTAGAAGATACATTGCTTGCATGATCGCTTGCACCTATTTGTAGGTATGCGTCAATCGAGTATGCTCGTCTCGCAGTATGCAATAGGGAGCGCGCTGGTTGGGATACCATACCTCGAGCAGGGTCGTTTCCCGTCACATCGTACCTGCAAAGGGTTGTTAGTGATCAAGGATGTAAAATCAAAGTAGAACTTACCTTCGACTGTCGACAAGCACTGCATGCTTTCTGAATTGCCGAGAGGATGGTCAGTCAATGTATGCAATGTCTTCTGACAGTGACCAGTAGGAGAGGACGAGTATACCGGAATCCGTTTCTTGCCGGTAGGAAGTTGTCTCACGCAAGAGGAGTCATCTGAGTCCATCTTCAAGCAAGCTGCCTGTCACTGTGGCCTCCTGCAGTAGTGTATAGTAGTGCCCGATGTCGAAATACTGCATGTACATGGCAGACCACAGAGTGGGTCGTGGAGCAATGCCAAAGGCGGGGGCGACGCAAGCCATCAACAGACGTCGGCTCGGCTAATGGATCGTTTCACCCGCCTTTTTCTATTCGTAGGTATGCTCTCATTCGAGCTTGATCTACTGATTGATTTTGGTTGAAGTCCAACTACAACCTCACTATACGGTTAGATAAAAACATTCCCGCCTCAATTGAACACTAGCCATACAACTGTCCACGCGTACTTCCCCACACGTCGTTCGACAAGCCCCCGAGTACAACTAGCGCTAATACACGTACACAAAATCCTCATTCAACCAGTCTGTAAGATCTTTGAATGCGTTGTCCTCCATTACGCCAGCCTGCACATGCACAGATTCGTCTAATTTGTCGCCCTCAGCAGCCCCAACAGCTTGCATCGAGTGATCGACGATTTTGGCGCTCTTGCCCATGGATACTCGCTGCCTCTCGTGCTTCTTGTTGAGGAAAAAGAGGTAGGCCATATTCAAGCTGGGGTGGTGAGCAGGAGATGATAGCGATTGTGATAGAAGACTTACATGCATAGCACAACCAAGACACAAAACATCGCAAGGCTGCAAATATCATCAGTATCGTTCATCCGTGAATACGAGTACGGGGGGGACAATTTACTTAGACCGCAAGCCTCGTCGATACAATGGCGCGTCTGTAGTGGTGTACAAGTTCGAGCCAAGAACCTGTTCTCAAGAATCAGCATCCAAGCCACTTATTGAACTCAAGTGCAAACCCTACGTTACCGGCGCATTGTCCCACCAGGACGATTCCATTCACAATCTTCTTCTTCGTCTCACCGGCTGTGTTTGCTGCTGACCAAGAATAGATCAGGGGGGCTGCAATTCTTGTCAGACTTGATCGCGCGCACAATGAGACGATATACATACTGATTCCGGGGTACACAGACACCTGAAAGCTGGTCAGTGTAAAGCTCCCCTTAGTTGGAAGCCGCTATAACTCACAATGTAATATCCTGCGAGTAACGCTCCATTGTGTTGGCCATCATGTGGAATGACCAGCAACATAACGCAGCCCGCAATAGCAGGCAAGCATAGCAGCGCAACCACGGGTCCTTTCATCTTGAGGAAAGTCGCCAGCCAAGCTCCACCCATCGTTGCGACGAGCTGGACCGCACCGAATGGGATATTGAACAGAATCGTTTGGAACTGGTTGAACCCGAAGGCCTCGATGATCAACGGACCAAAAGTCGAGATACCGCCGCTAGGAATTCTTTGGCAGGGTAAGATTGGTCGTCTGACCCTCAGAGAATGGGGTTGTCTTACGAGATTGAAAAGGTGAACGCAAACCAGAAGTAAGACTTGAGGTCAAGGCAAGCCTCCTTGACATGTTCCCACTTCCACACATGGGTTTCAAGCCCCTGCTGGTTCATGCGGAGTCGTTCAATAGTCAATAGCTTGTCCTCTTCCCCCAGAAACTTCGATTGGACGGGTGAGTCGGGCATCGCGTAGAAAATAACCACGGAGAACACGATTGTCAGGAGACCAAAGAACAAGAAGATGATCTGATAAGGCTCGAACACCGAAGAATGAATATGCCCAAGCCCATAAGTGATGAGGCTCCCAAACTACCGCAGCCCGTGTGTTAAATAAGAAAAGATGAGTTGTGGAAGTAAATGCTGACCATGTAGACCACGCCATTCATGGCATACCACGAACCCAGTCGCACGGGCTGTTCGATACGTCGATACCACATCTGGGTGATAGCGATAAAAGCAGGAGCTATGTTGTCACTGGGTTAGTTCCAGTCTCGTCGACAACAAAGCCTGCACGAAGGATAAGTACTCACGAACGCCGGCTTCAAACAACCCCAAGAACATCCGACAGACCAACAGCCCTGCAAAGTTATTTGCCGGGGTCATGCACGTCAAAGATACGCCCCAGAGAAAGGTTGTAACCGCCAGGAACTTTCCCAACGGCACCTTGACGAGGATATACGCCACAAACGGCTGGGCGACAAGCTGCACTAGGTAGACCACCGCGCCCAGCCAGGAGTACATTTGTCCATGCAGATGGGCTTTCTCAACGAGGCCGAAGACGGATGCATATGAGAGGGTGGACTTATCCAGCTGCTGTAAGAAGTAGATGCCCAAAAGAATAGGCAGCAGTCGCATGTCAATCTTCCGAAGCACACGAGCATTGTTCTCAGGTGTCAGGACAGTAGAGCGGCCTGCTTCTACCACCAGCTCCAGGGCTTTGTCCACCTCTGGCTCCGTCGGACGGACCTCTGTCTGAAGAGGAGCGGCTTCAACAGACTCGATCTGTTCATCTTGTGCATGCTTCCCATGGCCAACCTCCTCGGGACGAACCATCGTGTCTTCAGTAGTCAGCCTTGCTTGCTTGTTGAGGGCCTGTGGCTATACAGCCCTAAATAAAATCGAGACAATAAGTGCAGCCACACTCGGGACCGGACAAATTTCCGATTTTCAAGCCCGTCGAGTGAGGAGATGTCAGAGACACAGATGATACGGACCAACAAAAGATAGCCCCGAGGGGAGGGGCATGGTGCCCTTTTTACTCTCTCTCCCTCCCCCCTTTCATGGTGTACGTGCAGCACGGGATGGACAAGGGGCCAGACAATCCCCGTGGGGAGTGACTCCCCAACCTCAACCCCAGCCCCGGACAAGACATCCCAAGAACCGACGCGGGGACGAATCAGAACGTGTTGGGAGACTGCTCTGCAGCATCGCAAGTGCCGTGTTCATGTGAGGGCACTTGGAACCGGGCTAGCATGACGGGGGATGGTGGGGCATGAGGGCATTCGGACAAGAGCCGACGTAGGCATCAGGTAGGCGAGCCTGCCGTGATCGTGCCATGGCCCAGGAGTGGCGCAAAGTGGGCAGATGCTTGACGCTGAAAGTTCTCTAGCTTCGGAGATCGGTATGAAAGGCCGATGGTTGAAGTTGAAGACGGAGGGGAAATGCCTTTGAGGGAGTAAATGAGGGGTGGATGTGGGGGAAAAGAATGTGGGGGTCGGAGATGACCGCCGAAATCCGTTCTATACTAGTGAGTCCATACAACCCAACCTATGCTTTCGCAGTGTCAACGACCAGACCGGAAGAAGATCACTCAAATAGAGCGCTCTGTGCATCATGTCGAGCCGGAAATCAATCGACTACTTCCTGTACTTCGCAGCCGCGAAACGCAAGCATCCAACTTCCCACAGATCACCACACCATCCGAGCTGAAGGGCGCAACCATGCCTCAGAAGGAATGCTGCCCCAAGCGCTACGAGGCCATCTCTGCAGATGCGCAGGAGTCTCCGGGCGTATCTCTGCGTTCCACGTCCGAGAACCGTCAATTCGAGTTCTCCTTCGCGCCCGTCCGTAAGAACCTATTCCGAGTCACCTTCACGTCGCCAGACCACCCTCTACCTCCTTATCCCAGCGTCACCAAACCGGTCACAGACCTCAAGGACACCCACGTATCGACGAGCACCGATTCTCAGCGCAAAACAATCCAGGTCGGGGACGTCACGGCATCTGTCGAGTGGGCCAACTCGCCGGTGGTCTCACTCTCGTGGAAGGGGCAGCAGAACCAGCCACTGTACCGGGATCTGCCATTGCGCTCGTACGTCGCCGACGGCGCCGGCATCGCACACTACACGGAGCACGACCGCGAGGCTCTGCACGTGGGACTCGGGGAGAAGCGCGCCCCGATGGACCTCAGCGGGCGGCATTTCATCCTGTCCGCCACCGACAGCTTCGGCTACGACGTCTACAACACGGACCCGCTGTACAAGCACATCCCGCTGCTGATCAAGGCGACCCCGCGGGGCTGCGTCGCCATCTTCTCGACCACGCACGGCCGCGGGACCTGGTCCGTGGGCTCGGAGGTTGACGGCCTCTGGGGCCACTTCAAGGTCTATCGCCAGGATTACGGCGGGCTGGAGCAATACCTCATCGTCGGGCGGACGTTGAGGGAGGTGGTGCGGTCGTACGCCGAGCTCGTCGGGTTCCCCCTCCTGGTGCCCCGCTGGGCCTATGGATATATCTCCGGCGGGTACAAGTACACCATGATGGACGAGCCCCCGGCCCACCAGGCGCTCATGGACTTCGCCGACAAGCTGCGCGAGCACGGGATCCCGTGCTCCGCCCACCAGATGAGCTCCGGCTATTCCATCGCGGAAACGGAGCCCAAGGTCCGCAACGTCTTCACCTGGAACAGGTACCGCTTCCCCAACCCCGAGCAATGGATCGCCAAGTACCACGCGCGAGGCATTCGGCTTCTGACGAACATCAAGCCTTTCCTCTTGGCTTCGCACCCGGACTTCCAGAAGCTGGTGGACGCGAATGGGTTCTTCAAGGATCCAGCGACCGGCGAGCCGGGGTACATGAGACTCTGGAGCGCAGGAGGCGCGACCGGGAGTGACGGATGCCACATCGACTTCACCTCCGCCGCGGCATTCAGATGGTGGTACGAGGGCGTGCAGGGCCTCAAGCGCGCGGGGATCGACGGCATGTGGAACGATAACAATGAGTATACGCTCCCCAACGACGACTGGCAACTAGCCGGCGACGAACCCACCGTGGCCATCGCGGACGACGCCACTGCGAGCAAGCCCCAGAACTCCGTCGGCCTCTGGGGCCGGGCCGTCCACACGGAGCTCATGGGCAAAGCATCGCATGATGCACTGCTGGATCTGGAACCGAACCAGCGACCCTTCGTGCTCACCCGGAGCGCCACGGCGGGGACCATGCGGTATGCGGCCAGCACCTGGAGCGGCGACAACGTCACCAGCTGGGAAAGCATGAAAGGCGCGAATGCGCTGTCGCTGAGTGCGGGGATATCTCTCCTGCAATGCAGCGGCCATGACATCGGTGGTTTCGAAGGTAAGAAGACCTGCTCTGCCCGTCGCTGCAGCAAAACCTACCTGTAGATATCTAACTCTATCTCCAACTCCAAACCAGGCCCGCAACCCTCTCCGGAACTCCTCCTCCGGTGGATCCAACTGGGCATCCACTCGCCGCGCTTCGCCATCAACTGCTTCAAGACCTCCCCGGGCAACAGCTCCATCGGCGAAGTCATCGAGCCCTGGATGTACCCGGAGATCACGCCGCTGGTGCGCGAGGCGATCCAGCGCCGCTACGAGATGCTGCCGTACATCTACTCTCTGGGGCTGGAAAGCCACCGGACGGCCGCGCCGCCGCAGCGCTGGATCGGCTGGGGCTACGAGTCCGACCCGGAGGTGTGGACGAAACCCCTAAAAGCCGGCGACGAGCAGTTCTGGTTCGGCGACACGATCCTCGTCGGCGGCGTCTACCAGCCCGGCGTGAGCGTCGCCCGCATCTACCTGCCCCGGAAGGTTGCAACCGCAACCGCGAACGCAAACGACCCCCAATCCGACGTCGACCACGGCTACGTCAACCTCAACGCACCCTACAACCACCTGGCCGCGGGCCAGTGGGTCTCGATCCCCGCCGAATGGCGCAAGAGCATCCCGTTGGTCGCGCGCGTCGGCGGCGCGATCCCCGTGGGCAAGGCGGTGCAGACCCGCGTGCCGGGCGACGAGACCGCGGCGTCGCTGGCCGTCGAGGAGGTCGACGACTACCGGGGTGTGGAGATCTTCCCCCCCAAGGCTTCTTCGCACGGGCAGGTCTTCGTCAACACGTGGTATGAGGATGATGGGATCTCGGTCCGGCCGCGCATCGCCCAGTATACGGTGCGGTATCGCGCCACGCGGGAGACGGTCGTTGTGGGGTTGGTGCGCGACGAGACGAGCGGGTTTGTGCCGGCGTGGAGGGATTTGGATGTTATACTGCACTGCGGGGATGAGAGGCGTGTGGTGGCGGAGGATGGAAGGAGTACGGTGGTGTTCAAGGGGAAGGATGGCCGGGGGCGCGTGGTCTATACCTTCAAGAACTAGACACAAACTAGACGAAGGCGGCAGGGATGAACAACACCAAGTCTTTGAGTCCTGTGGACGACAGATGTTCAGAGTCGGAGGGGGTTCATGTGTATCTGACCGAATTAGATGAGATGTCAATGGCAATGCTAAAAGCTTTTGGTGTGCACACTCACAATTATGGACTAGATGACTGTCAGTCATGTTAGTTCGGCAACTAACATTGAGAGGGATGTTCTGTCCATCGGTTAATCTCGAAAGAAAATGTTGTTCTAAGAAAGATACAGACAGAAACTCCTCAAGAATCCGATCCATCGATGATGTGCCAAATCTACAATGGTTAACTTATTTACTATCCAGCCTGGCCCAAATGGCAGCTCCCAGTTGTCCGAACAATAATACACTATATACAGTTCGCCACAATTCAATCGGAAATAAAGACGATTCAAACATAAGAGTAAGGCCTCGGGCTCCAGCGCGCATCTGTTCGCTCTGCTTGCTCGGCTCCAATTCCATCCGCGCATGCAACAATAATATATCATCAACGAAGGTGGGGAATGATTATCTCTCAATGCTAAAAACTGTGTCCTGTATTAGCGCCATACCACAGCCCATGGCGCTCGACCTGGTTTTCAATGTAGAGGTCATATACAACATGTCTGATCATGCAACTCTACTCTTGTCCGAAACCCAATGTCTCCTCTACAGCAATGGACATCTTGTGTTCCAGAGCTTCGTGTGTCTTGTACGGAGGTAGGTCAAGACGGTTGAAACTGGGAAAGTTAGCCAGCTACTCCGGAAAACAAAAGCAAGAGATGAAAGAAGTCAGGGACATACCAAGTATGCGACTTGGGCAATGCGTTGGGATCGCCCGATTTCTCGATAGTGAACCGGCGAGGCCCGTCCGAGCCTTGCAGATCTTTGAATCCGTTGACCGGAATACGCGAGGTACCAGTGGTGAACTGCAGGAGGCGAGACTTTTGCTCGGCATCCCAGCTGCGGACAATCTTCCAGAAGTTCTGGATGACTTCGTCCTGCTCCTGGTAGCCGCGGTAATCGGTGTGTTTCTTCCAGTCATCAACATCAATATCCGCAATACCGCCAATCAACAATTCCAACTCGCGCTCGTCGAACACGTTGACCAGATCGGCCGGAATCAGCTCGTTGAACCCAGACATGAAGGCATTGAACTGCTCCTCCACCCGCTTCACAATCTTCCACTCAGTTACCAATCTATGACCGTCAGCGAAGTCCACCAGCTTACAAGCACGAGCAACTTACTCAACATATTCATGCTTGTTCTCGTTCGTCACCGGAATGTCGCGACCACCCGGCTTCAGGTCAACAGTGGTGCGCTCGCCGAACTTCTCGTCGTCAACCGCGAAAGTCAACTCCAAAACACCGTCGATGTCGTTCTCCCTGCTATGTGTTAGACTGGAATACTCAGGTCCCTCCATCCAAGGCACTTACAAAGTCCATGTCAAGTTGCGGTGCAAGTCCTCATCAACACCCTCCATGTCCTGGAGCGAGACCTTCTTTCGCAGCATCATCTTATAGAAGGC